TTTGTGCAAGTGTTGTTAATCGATTGATCATGCTTGTCAATCGACTAATGGGTATCTCTGAACATTCCTGGTTTGGAAACAAAATCTTATTAATCGATTATCTAAAGATGCTAATCGATTATTACACATCTCTGAACTTCGAAACCCAAAGTTGTTCAGTTCCTATTTTCCTTTCCTAAGATTGGGTATAAGGCTAAAATTATTTCCTGATTTTCAACAAAGAATAAAGCCTTTTCTTCCACAAAACAAAAGCATGATCACTTTTGAAACAAAGGAACAAAAATCACAAACAAAGTCATTGAATGAATAGTGCTGTTTTGGCATTTTATTACCAAAAATCTAAAGCTTGGTTTCCCTTTGTTTTCTTCCTTATATGCACGAAATTTCTCCCTAAATAAACCCAAGGAAGATCAGCCCAAAATCGGGAGAAGCATCTTGGAAAATCAGCTCACATGGATGGACATTAATCTTTGATTTTTAGGAAAGAAGTAGGAAGTTTCCTTTATTGTATTTTTCTTTATTTGTTGTTGTACTTCCCCTCCATTGTGGCCTATATATACACAGCCATATGGCCATTGTAAGAGAGCCATGGATTGAATAAAAACTTCTTTGTTTTACTCTTTGAGTAATTCTTTAAAATAGTGCGATGCTATTTTAACCAAATTTCCTAATGAAATATCTCTAAAGTTGGCTACTTTTGAGTGCGTGTTAGGAGTCTAATTTTATACATTAGTAGTGATTATTAATGTGTAAAAGAAGATAAAAGCCCCAAGTTAAGATAAGAGTGTGTCATATCTCTTAACACCAACTTGGTTTATCCCTTCACTTTATTTCTGCCCATTTCATTCCTCACCATTTCTTCTTCTTAAACTTATTCTTTTCTCTCGTTAAAACACCAAAAAGAACTCTTTCCCACACTCCATATTTCATCCATTCAGTTCTATCATCCATTTCCTTCCGCAAATTCGTTGCAAAATAGCTACTCGATAAGACCCCGGGTCTCGGGTACAACATCTGGTATCAAAGCTCAACTTCGAAGACTTTCTCAAGTCTCGACGATTACCGGAGGTCCAGCTTCACCCACGTTGCACATAAGCAAGACTGCTGAAATTGCTCCTGAAAATTTCAGCCCCAAAGCAGTGATCACGGAGGAATGTGCAAAAGTTATTTCAACGTGAAACTTTCCAGTCTGAAAGTTTAAGCTTTTATCTACGTCTGGCCGATGATTTCATTCAATTCGGAGTTGCGGTTAGTGAGATACACCCTTCCAAAGTTGA